CTTCTCATAACTGGTTTCTATTTTCATGCCATTGTGGTAAGAAAAGATGCTTGATATGATTTCAGTCTTCTTAAGTTTATTGAGACTTGTTTTCTGGCCTAACATGTGATCTGTCCTGGAGAATGTTCCATGTCCATTTGAAAAGAATGTGTGTTCTGTTTTTGGATGGAATGTTCTGTTAAGTCCATCTGGTCTAATGCGTCATTCAAAGTCACTGTTTCCGTATTTTCTGTGGTGTCTTACTGTCAATTTCTCCCTTTATATTTGTCAGTATTTTCTTTACACATTTAGGTGTTTCTGTGTTGGGTGCATAGGTATTTACAAGTGTTATATCTTCTTGTTGGATCGATCCCTTTATCATTATGTAATGTCCTTCTTTGTCTCTTGTTATAGGCTGTGTTTTAAAGACTACTTTGTCTGGCATAAGTATTGCTACCCCATGTGTTTGGAATCTCTTTTCCCATTCCTTCCCTTTCAGCCTGTATGTGTCTTGAGGTCTGAACGTGAGTCTCTTATAGGCAGCATATAGGTGGGTTTTGGTTTTTTATCCATTCGGTCACCCTGTGTCTTATGATTGAAACATTTAATCTGTTTACAGTGAGAGTACTGCTGGGCATGTACTTATTATTTTGTTAATTGTTTTCTGGTTGTTCTTGTAGTTCTTCTCTGTTCCTTCTCTTGCTCTCTTCCCTTGTGATTTGATGACTTTCTTTAGTGTTCGGTTTGGATTCCTGGATCTTTCATGTGTCTAGCATAGGTTCTTGGACCGTGGTTACCATTAGGTGTATATACAACACATGATATACATCTATCTATCTATCTATATATATATATATATATCGGCATATTTTAAGTTGACGGTCACTTAATTTTGAACACATTCTAAAAGCGCTTACGTTTTTACTCCCTCCTATTTTATGTAGACATCATATTTTACATCTTTTTGTGTACCACCTTAACTAATTATTGTAGCTATAATTGATCTTACTACTTTTGTCTTTTAACCTTCATCCTAGCTTTATAAGTGATTGGTCTCCTACCTTTACTATATGTTTGCTTTTACCAGTGAAATTTTTTCTTTCTTAATTTTCTCACTTCTAGTTCTAGCCTTTTCTTTTCTACTTGAACAAGTCCCTCTAACATTTTTTGTGAGGCTGGTTTAGTGGTGATGAACTCTTTTAACTTTTATCTAGGAGCTCTTTATCTCTCCTTCAGTTCTGAATGATGACCTTGCTGGGTAGAGTATTCTCGGTTGTAGGTTTTTCCTTTCAGCACTTTGAATGTATTGTGCCGCTCCCTTCTGGCCTGCAAACTCTGCTGAAAAAGCAGCTGATCGATCGCCTTCTGGGGGTTCTCTTATACGTAACTATTTGTATTCTCTTGCTGCTTTTAAGATTCTGTCTTTATCTTTAATTTTTGCCATTTTCATTATTATGTGTCTTGATGTAGACCTCCTTCGGTTCCTCTTATCTGGAGGTCTCCGGTCTCTGTGGCCCCTGGACCTGGATGTCTGTTTCTTTCCCCAGGCTAGGGAAGTTTTTAGCAATTATGTCTTCAAATAGGTTTTCTGCCCCTTTCTCTCCTTTTTTTTCTGGGACCCCTATAATGCAAATGTTAGGATGCCTGACGTTGTTCCAGTGGTACCTTATCCTACCCTCATTTCTTAAGAATTCCTTTTTGGTTTTGCTGTGCAGCTTGGATGATTTCCACTACCCTGGCTTCCAGATCACTGATTTGTTTTTCTGCGTCTCCTCATCTGCTGTTGATCCCGTCTTGTGTATTTTTTATTTCAGTTATTGTATTCTTCAGTTCTGATTTTTTTTTAAGTTTGTTTATATTGAGAGAGAGAGCATGAGCAGGGGAGGGGCAGAGAGAGAGAGAGAATTCCAAGCAGGCTCCGTGCTGTCCGCACAGAACCGGACACGGGGCTTGATCCCACAAACCGTGAGATCGTGACCTGAGCCGAAATCAAGAGCGGGACGCTTAACTGACTGAGCCACCCAGGCGCCCCATTAAGCTTCAGTTTTAAAAACTATTTTCTATCTCTGCGTTGAAGTTCTCACGGAGTTCATTCGTTCTTCTCCCAACTCTTGTGAGCACCTTTATGACCATTACTGTGAACTCTTTATCAGGTAAATTGCTTATCTCTGTTTTATTTGAGGTCTTTTTCTGTGCTTTCGTCTTGTTCTTTTGTTTGGAACATATTCCTCCGTCTCCTCATTTTGTCTGATTCCGTGTGTTCGTCTCTATGTATTAGGTACGTCAGCTCCGTCTCCTGCTCTTGAAAGTAGTGGCCTTATGTAGAAGGGCCCTGTGGGGCCCAGTAGTGTAATCGCCCCTCGTCACCAGAACGAGAGACTCTCCAGGGGGGTGTCCCACGTGTGGGCTGTGTGCACGGTCCTGTTGTGACTCAGCTGTGACTGCTGTGGAGGCGCTGGTGAGCGGGGCTGGCCCTCGGCCCTGCTGGCTGCAATGCCTGGTGACTATTGTGGGTGTGCTAGTGGATGGGGCTAGACGCCCCCTCCCCGGGGCACGAGTTGCTTTGGAGGGGACACCAATCTTGGCCAGTGCTCCCCACCCGGTGGGGCAGGGTGGTAATTGCTTTGAGGGGATGCTGGTCCCGCGTGAAGCTGCCTGCCACTTGTGGTGGGGCAGGAGCTGCTTTAGAGGGGCGGCTGCCAGGGCCTGTCTGCAGGGCAATGCCAGGGTGGGGTCAGCAGTGCTAGCAAGGTAGATAGAGAGTGGCAGAACTGGGACCCGCCCATGCTTTCATTCCCGGAGGAAGTTCCTACAGATCCCCGCCCCTCTGGCACATAACCCTAGAATTAGTCGATAAAGGTTCACCTATAGCCCAGGCACCACTCAAATCACCGCCTCTGTGCTTGGTCTTAGGGTGATTGTGTATGGGCCCTTTAAGAGCAGAGTCTTGGTTTCCTACAACAGTCTGGCTCTCCCACAGTTAAGCAGCCCCATTGATTTTCAAAGCTCCTGGGATTAAACCCTGCTGATTTTCAAGGCCGGATGTTATGGGGCCTCATCTTCCTGGTGCAGATCTCCAGGGTGGATAGTGGTGCCCAATGTGGGGCTTGAACCGCCCCCCGCCCCCCCCCCCCCAGGCCAGGGAGGACCTGCACGCCTGTGCTGTCCCTCCCATTTGTGGGTTTAGCTCCTGACTTTGCCTCTGTCCCTGCTACCCTTCTTCATATGGCTTTTTCTTTATATATTTAGCTGCGGAAGAGCTCTTCTACTGGTCCTCAGGTCGTCCTCAGAGTGAGCAAAGAGAGGTAAGGCATGAACCATGAGAATAGGTCGCAGGGGAGAGGGTTCCGGGCAGAGAGCACTGCAAGTGCAAAGGCCCTGAGGTGGGAGCATGCGTGGCAGTTGAACGGGAAGGAGATGGGTGTGGCTGGAGTGAGAAAGGTGAAAGGACAGTAGGTCATAGGTGATGAGTCTGAGCAATAAGTTGGGAGGGAGAAGGGGACTCAGATCCCATCAAGCTCTCTAGGCCATTGTCAGGACTGTGTTTGCCTTTTGCTCAGAATAACCGGTGGCATTGTGGGGGGAAGTGTTTCTGCCTGTTCTGTGTCCCATTCCAGCCCGATTCACAAACCCCGGGTGCAGTAGGCGGAGGCTTTCGCCCAACTCCAAATGGAGACGTTCTCCAGAGCAAGAAGGTCCAAGAGTAAGTAGTACTTTGCACCACACATCATCACTGTGCTCTAAATACCCCTTGTCATTGGAAGGGTGAGTTGTGCCTGCTGGGACATAAGAGGGTGTGGAGCCACCTCGTTTCCACCTGACCAGGCCTTCCTGGGGCCTAGGAAACTGCCCTTGGGGCTGTAGGCTTAGATGGAGCCGGCCAGAGGAACAGAGACAGTGGGGAGTCTTCTCCGAGGGCTGGGGAGCTTGCCTCCATCTATTTCGACTCGTCTCTCTCAGTGAGTAGGGATTTCAAGCCATTTTTTATTCCACCCTGCCAGTTAGGCAAAGCAGCCCAGGGCCTTCTCTCCAAAGCTGCCAGGATAAGCCACACGAACGGTTCAGAGCCAGGCACAGGCGGAAAAGGAAAAGGAATTCCCAGGCAGGTACATCATAGCGTGCGGGCAGTATGTTCCCAAACTAAATCTAAAAGTTCCATCGGCAGCCCCTTTGTTAACGAGGCGATTTCTAAGGTTGGTGACGGAGAACTCCTGTTTTGGAAGAGTAGCTCCCTCCTTAGGTCACTAGGCCCCCATTTAGAGCACCGGTGTGGGAAAATTGCTTAACTGGGAGTATCAGGCTTTCCTGGTCGGAAATGTAAGGTTAGGACGATAAAAACAGGGCAATACGGGGGCGCCTGGGTGGCGCAGTCGGTTAAGCGTCCCACTTCAGCCAGGTCACGATCTCGCGGTCCGTGAGTTCGAGCCCCGCGTCGGGCTCTGGGCTGATGGCTCAGAGCCTGGAGCCTGTTTCCGATTCTGTGTCTCCCTCTCTCTCTGCCCCTCCCCCGTTCATGCTCTGTCTCTCTCTGTCCCAAAAATAAATAAACTT